GGGGGGGGGGGGGGGGGGGGGGGGGAAACAAATATTCAATGTTTTCTTGTGAAATTTGGTAAACAGAATAATATGTGTTAAAGAGACATATTTGACCTATAGTGAAAACAATGAGCATGAAAATAAGCATCTTTATCTGCAAACCCAGAAGGAAATTTCTACTCTTTTAATTAAACAATAGTGGATAGGAACAAGGCAGAGTGAGAAGGAAAAGTTTACAGTTCATCAAACTCCTACAGCCCAGAAGAAAGTTCTTTAGCTTTATAACCTAATTTAATCATCCATTAATTAGTAAATTAACGTTGAAGGTAATAATAATAAATATCACGCATTTTGCTCTCCTATGTGCTTGCTATGCTTCTGAGTCTTTTATGTAGTTTAATTTAATTCTCACAATAACCTTATGACATATAAATATGATTATGACTGTACTGGTTTGGATAGTGTCCTCCAAAAATTGATGTTCTTTCCAGAACCTCAGAATGTGGACTTGGAAATAGGATCCTTACAGATGTAATTAGTTAAATTAAGATAAGGTTATACTGGAGTAGGGTGGGCTCTTAGTCCAGTATGACTGGTGTCCTTGTCAGAAAAGAACAGACACAGACACACAGACACACACGAGAGAATTCCACGTGAAGACAGAGGCAGAGATTGGAGTGATGTGTCTAAAAGCCAAGGACTGCCAGCAACCACCAGAGTCTAGGAGAGAAGCATGGAGTGGATTCTCATCCCAAGAAGAAACCAGTCCTTATGACACCTTGTTTTAGATTTTAAACCTCCAGAAATGTGAGAGAAAAAAATTCTGCTGTTTTAAGCCACGCAGTTTGTAGTAGTTTGTTACTGCAGCCCTAGGAAGCGGATACAGGTAATGCACAGTGTTGACTGTTATTATGTCAGTGTAATTGCTCCTTTATTTATATTAACATAAAAAACTCAGTTTCAAAGGGTATTAAGAATAGGAGAATAGCTCAGAGAATAACTGTTTCCTCAAATATCTGATACCTAAATTATGGGCAACTGTTGGGCCAGGTTATTGAAAGGAGAATAAAAAATAAGATTGCTAAATGCAAAACTGACTTTACAAGACACTTATGAATCACAAAAGGGGAAGAATGACAATTCTGAATAAACTTACCCTCCTCTGCGTATCCCGGGACTCTTTAAACAGGGTTCTTTTCTGTCTCCGTCTCCTTGAGGAAGACATATTCAATAGAGGATGTGAAGATATTGTACTTCAGCAGTAGCATTATTTCAAACACTCCGCACCTCATTGTCCCCCCAGCCCACATGCACTTGCTAAATATGTTGAAGTAGCTCTTCACAGTTGCTTTATGCACAATTTTTCAAAATGCTATTGCCATAAAGGTTTTAATTTTCCCTACCTGCTCCAATGTGCTCACAGATGGTGAGGACAACTACATGGATATCCAGCCAGTGTGCATTAGCAATCAATCGCAGTGATTTTACTAAAGAATGGTTCATTGTGGGTTATTTCATAAATGGATTACAGCCTTCTCTAAACAACCTCGGGCTTAGAGATTTTTCACAATTAAAACTTTTTAAAGTGCCAACAGTGTAACTTCTTGGATGACAATGATAATATAATGAAGCTTCATAAAATCTTCCAGGTGTTATTCTAAATCACTTGTGAGGATTATTTTACTGAGATTTTATCAAAACTCTATATTTAACAAATTAGGAAACTGAGGTGTAGAAAGGAAGTAACTTGTGCCAAATCCACAGCCCTCCCTCTTTATTATCAGCCTCCACTACTTCTGGAGTCACTCTGCTGTAGCTGAATGCACCAACTAGAACCACACTATTCAGTAAACTCTCTACAATTCCAATCAAACCTATAAACACCTAGCTTCAGGAGGAATCTTAAAAGGGAAAATACAAGAGAAGAAAAGAAGCCACTATAATTAATACAATCAATGAAAAACTATATCCAAGTATATGAAAATGATTATCATGGGGTGAATGAGACAACCACATTTTCATCTCCCCAAAGAAAATAGTCTTATTAAACAAAAGGAGATGGGT